CGCCCCCGCCCTGCTGGCGCTTCGCGCCTCGCAGTCGCGCTGTGGCGGCAGCGGAGAGACAACTGCAGCAGCGTATCGCGGAGTGCAGGAAGTGCTCGGCCGCGTAGCTGAGCCGGGCAGGTCCTGCGGGAGACTCGTAGGGCCCGAAGCGCCCGCACGAACTTCTCCAGCCTCGCCAAAGAAGCGTTTTCTGTGGTGGCAGAACAGTTTCCCAGGAAACACAAACCAACTCTGGCTGCCGTACCTAAGAGACCCTTAATAATCGTTGATACAGAGGGAACTTACAGGAAGGACTTGGTTTAGACAAAGCTTTTAATGATATACACAAATAAATTGTAAAGTGTGCAGCAGTGTGTTTTCCAAGACATGGGTGGCATACCTTATGGCCTGCTTACACATTGCATCTACCTGGTCTTGACAAAGCGGCATTCAGCTCAGCATTGACATAAAACTGTGTGCCAAACTCCTGATGGTTCATTCATTTAATGACTTCAAATAGATTGGTGAAAACAAGTTAGACATTACATTATTGTTTTCTTTCCTCACATAGAAGTGCACTTTGTGGAAACTAGAATTTCAGTTCAGTGAAAAATTTCAAGGCTTTACACATTTTCAAGGAGATACACAGAAAAAATATTTAGAATTTTCAAACCAAATTATTTGAATGGATCAGAATGTTCTAGCTGACTGCATTTTGATTTCGCCTTAAAATATATCAATAAGCAAAGTAAGACTGTTTGTAAGACAAAAATAAAGTGTAAAACGTGTACATTTCTAACAAGAAACAAATGGAGTATGTGGGTAAAAATTATTAATTCCTTTTCCCTTGAAGTAAAATTGACTCAAAATAGGATGTGTTGCTGTGGTTTCACCTAAACACCATTGTATAACAGAAAAAGATTGTAACAACAATGTTAAGTAACGCTACACACATATCCCTTCTTTCCACTCAATCATTTGCTTGCCTCATGAACTACCTGCAACTTAGCTGTAACATTTTGCCCAAGATTGCAGTTAACTTCTTCCAGAGTTTTAAGGATAAAGAACATTGTAATGAAAATTTGTAGGTGTGTAACAAAAAGTTGGTTGTTAAGCTTGAGGAGCAAGTTTGTGTGTAAATGAAAGCAGGTTTGGCAGGTCAGTTACACTCACAGAATAGCTTAATGAGCAGTCTGTTTGCATTTGTTGAATGTAGTGGTTTATTGAGCATAACCATTGATTAACTACATTTTAACGGCAATAAAAATAAAACAGTAATTATGTATTTTAACATAATGTTATTGTGGAGAACCAATACCAGATGCGATTTTGTCTCAACATTGCTACTGTGCCGCCATCTCCTGGGAGGACCATCTTCTTCACGGTTTTGGAAGCGACGACCTCATGTGCCTGCGCAGGGACCAAGGGCGCGAAAAGAGCAGGAAGAGGCCTGCAGGAGAGCAGCACTTCCGGTTGATCTGCACATGAGCGAGATCCCTATATAAAGGGAGCACGCGCCTTTTGGCGCCTTCTTCTTTTCTTTTCTCCGCTTTGTCTCCTGTTTGGTTCCTCCTGCCTCCCTGCTGCGTGCCATCCCCCCCCCCCGGCCCCCCAGCCCCATGAACCGTGTAATGTTTCAAGCCCACCCCCCCACCCCGGGCCTCAGACTCTATGAAGCGTGTAATGATTGAAGACTTCGGACACAATATGCAGAAAAACTGTTGAACTCAGAGTGGTAGTAGTGACCTTTCTCCCTCTTTCCTTATTTTCTTCCTTTACCCCCTTTTCTTTTCCCTCTTTGCCTTCCCTTCACCTTTCCCCTGTACTTTATTCTTTGTTAAAAGTATTAAGTAAAAGGCTGTATGACATTTGACCGACTTTAGCGTCTTAATCTCTTCCTTGGGATTATTTTTAACGGAACCTTCCCGATACTGGATCGGGACATTTATCAGTCAGGAATTAAACCAAACCAAGCTATACTGCATGGACAGAGTCCACCCAGAGATCAGTGCGATCTCAAAAAATGTGATAAATTGTCCCCATTTCTCCCTGTGAAATGTGTTCACCTGATTCG